ACAGGGTGATGCGCCAAGACTCAATGTCACTTATACAAGATGTTGATGGAATTTACTATATAAAAATCTCCCTTCTAGAGTAAAGAGTATCAACATTACTGCTCGACAGACGGTGCGGGGATAAACGAATCAGACAAAAGACAAACACGATAATAATCTGTTTCCAATCACTTAAGCCCTGTAGAGTTAGTAAAATGTTCCTTGCATATTCCCCCTTGAGTTCGGTAATTAATTACTGGCGAAGAGACGCACACCTCCCGGCTGGATTGGGAGTTTCAAGACCCGGAGAGCTTGGGCGTGGGGGTGTCTTTCTCCCGGTTTCCAGCTGGGGACACTGGACAGCGGTGGAGGAAGGAGGTGCCTCCTCTTGCGTCGCCGGCTGAGCAGGACATTTCCGTGGGGGCGCCGCCGCGCCTCTGCTCCGCTCCGCTCCGCTCCCCATGCCTCGGAAATTCTTCAACCAAGCAAGAAAGAGGCCGGCCATCTCTGAGTCCTTCTAAGTCGTCTTAACTCGCTACCCGCCTTAGAATGGCCTGAGTTGTTTTTGTTTGTTTGTTTTGTACTTATTTATTTATGCATTTATTTATTTATTAAAGGGCAGGCTGGAGGCCCGGCGCTGGCCGGGGTTGGGGGATTGAGGGGGTGGGGATCCAGGAGGCTTGCCCCTTGTCCTCCCGCCTTCCTCCCCCCGCCCCCAAGCATCTCAGGTGTCGAAGCAGCCAGTTCTCTTCCGATCTCGATCATTACCCCCCCCCACCCCATCACGCATCCTTACCCCCCCCCCCACCAAGAGCCAGCGAAGCTTTAACATTAAACAAACGCAGTGAGCGCCTGGGAGCTGCGCTCTAGGCCGGGTCTGCGCGGCGGCGGCGCCGGCGGCGTTACAAATTGTAAATTTAAATTGCTCTCCGGATTCATTACTTCCCCTCTTTGATTTCAGCCAGCCGTGAAAAATTATACTGGTGTACCACTGAGAAACTGCTTTGCCGCAAAGAGCCTGCGCCTAATCACTGGCTTTCTCCCTCCGACAAGAGTGTAATTATTTTGTTTTGGGTGTAAATATAGGCGGCCCCGCGCACAGACACTCAGCATCCCGCCGCGCACGGCCCGCCCCCCAGAGGCATCCGCCCGGGGGTAGGAACCGGCATGGAGGCCAGGCCCGAGCGAAGCGTCGGCCTCGTTCGTACTCCCGGCAGACCGGGTCTCCAGTCTCTGCCTCAAGACTCAATGGACCTTGGGCATCCAAGCCCAGCCAAGTGCACTCCAGCGGGGTGTGTGCCCTGTGGGTCAGGGCTCAGGGTCAGGCCCAGAAGAATACAGTGGGATGGCAGTGGATGAGGATTCTCGGGCCCCCCGCAGGACCCACAGACCTGAATGGAGTCCCCAGTCCAGGTCCAAGTAGGGACGGTGTGTCCTGACTTTAGGAGGGACACGGGGGAGACAAAACCGGATAGGCGGATGAGTCCTACTCGCTCAAAACTGTGGACCACTGGGTTTCCAGAGCATCTTTGCGGGGCTCCGGGCCCTCCTGTAACGTGAACACTCGTGAATTAAGCGGCTTTGAAGTTGTGCGGTGGGGGCCAGACCTGGGGTGTTTACAAACCGGCTGGGATTTATTTCATCCTTACTCCCTCTTTCATTCTTCTCGCTTTCCTCTCCTCCTTTCCGGGAGGTGAGCTATCCGAGGCTTGGGAGATGTGCCAGTAAGACCATTTCCCAAGACGTAGTGGAGTGCTAGGTCTGAAAGACATCGGGTCTGATATCTGAGCCCCACCGTGCTTTAAAGGGCTGCTTGCTCAGGAGGGAGCAGCAGGGTGTCAGTTGGGGGTGTTGGGCTCTGCTTTGGAGATGCCCGGGGCCCATAGATCCCAAGCAGGCAGGGCAGGGAGTGAGCCCCCGACTCCTTACCTCCCCCATGAAGCCCCACCCTTGGGCTGCTGGGACCCCCACCAGCAGGCTACCTACAGCTCACCCTTGGTCTGTAACACACTTTCCTAGGGCAGAATTCAGGCTCTGGCTTCCCCGGAGCCTGGGTTGGTCCTTTTCAGTAAGAAGGGGCCTTGGAAGAGGTCAGATGAAGCCCCTATAACTTGTAAGCGAAACTGACATTTTTTTCCGCTCAGAGGGAGAAAAATCTCACGCTTTTAGTGTCGTGGCTGGATTCCATGTTGCCGGTTTCCCTGGACCCGGCTGGGTTGAGAGCTGGACTTGGCTGAGATGCCGATCGGTGGGGCCCAACCCCAAGTAGTTTGGGGCTCCTCTGATCCCCACAGCCAGTAGAATCCAATGGTCCATGTCCCCCCCTCCCGGGAGTGGCTTCTCTAAAGTTCAGAGAGGGCAGTTTGCCTCGGATGTCCCTTCAAATGAAGAGTCCCAGCCCACCTAGTATGACTTTGAGTTTTGTCTTTCGACCTAGCTTGGTCTTTCTGTTTGTTTTGTTTCTCTCTCTCTCTCTCTCTCTCTCTCTCTCTCTCTCTCTCTCTCTCCTCCCCCTCCCCTTCTCTCCCCCTCCTCTCCCCACCCCTCCACTCCCCCACCTTCTTTTTGTTAGACTAATTTGGGTTGCTTTAGAATTGGCCCGACTTTGGCAGCTCGTGGTGTGTGTGTGTGTGTGTGTGTGTGTGTGTGTGTGTGTGCTTGCGCGCGCACGTGTGTGTGTGTGTATGTGTGTATTTCTCAGTCGCTAATGATTGTGTGTTGATAGAGTAATGCAGTGGCCTCATTAGCCCTTGTTTAGAAGGTGTTAAAAGGGAGATCCGCCTCGGAAAGCCGCGGTTTACACAGCGGCGCGGCTGAACCCCCGAGCCGCGCGGCGGGCTAGGGGGAGGCGGACCCGCTCCCACCCCCTAGGGAGGGGAGAGGGGGCGGGGAGGCGACCCCAGCTCCGGCCTCCCAAGGCGGGTATGTTTACCCCGCTGAGCGCCCTCGGCTCGGTGGGGACCCCAGCGGGGGTCGGCTCTGGTTCCAAAACTCCTGGGAGCTGCTCAGCGGGGCTCCGCGGCCTTTCCCAGGGCAGGATGGGGCAGGGGTGGGGGCAGAGAAAAAAATGCAAGGAATTTTTTTGTTTGTTTGTTTTGAGGGTTGGGAGTGAGGTATATTATTTAGAGACAACTACAGACAAGTAGGTAGCGGCTCGGGGTCTCTGGGCTGGCGTGTTCTCGGCAATCTCCATGCCCCACCCCCATCCCCACCAAAATAGATACCTTAAACTTTAGGGGGTCGGCAGAGAGTCCCCCCCCTGTTCTCAGATGGCCTTTTGGGACCTTCGTTTTTGAAAGTTTCTTTCCCAATCTATCTCTGCCCTAAGGCTCCACCTGGGAAGGAATTTGGGAGAATAAAACCGTAGCTGGCCGGCCTACTTCTGCAAAGCTTGGCAGGTGCGAGTAACTTTGTTGACCTGGGGCTAGAGGGGTGCGTGTGCTCGGTTGTGTTGATGCCCGAGGGCGGAGGATCCATAGACAAGGTTCTACCCCGTTGGCGTTCCTCATCCTTCCCTCGGGCCCGAAACTCTAGGTTTGTGGCTGAGCTGACTTGAGAAGAAATCCCATTTTATTCTGGGTCATACGAAAAGACCCGAGGGGGGGGGGTATTTTGATCAGGCTCAGTGGGTGCCCTTGTTGAACTCGGAACTAGACCCCTTTCCTGATGAAAAGGAGAAAGACCGGGTTGGCATTCACCGTGAGACTCTTCAATCGAATTTTTCTTTTTTCACGAAGGTGGTTGCATGCGTGTGGGGGAGCCTTTCTCGTCTTTCTGGTTTGTTTGCATTTTGGTTTTCCTGTCCCTGGATTTGACATTGCCCATCTTGGGGTGAAATTCAGCTAGTCTGGGCATTTCTAGTCTGGTAAAAACCCACCTAACCAACGTCGGAAATCATGGTTTTCTCCCCTTTCCTGTATGTGTGTGTCTCGTGCGTATTTCTATTTTATTTTATTTTATTTTCCTTTTAGAAGTCTAGGCGTTGTCTAGAGACAGGTCGTGGGAGGCTGGGACTCTCATACAGCGGCTCCCATGAAATCCGACTGTAGACGGATTTCAGACCCAACTGGACCCTCAATGCCCTCCCTAATTCGTCTTGTAGTTAGAAGCGAGATTGCGCGGGAAACCAAGTTAAAACCGGTTCCCCAGATGCTGTGGGATGGGGCCAGGATCAAATACGGAGGACGCGGGAAGACTGGAAAGCCCGTAGCTCGCTGCCCCCTCCTCCCCCTCCCTTTCTCCTTCTCGTTCTCTCTTTGTCTCCCTAGCAGGTCTGTCGGTGGAGGCAGGGGTGTGCCAGCGGTAGCAGCCAGGCTCTGCACCGGCGTGGTAGTTGGGAACGAGACAAAGACAGGAGCTGTCCGCGGTCCTGAAGCCGCGCGGAGAAGGGCTCTTGTAGGCGCCCTGCCCTCTCAAGAGCCTTCTAATCCCATTTTGGCTCTGAATTTGCTCCCCTCCTGCGTTCATTTCACTTTTTGGGGGCTTCTCCTCAGAATCGATATCTTTAACCTAGGTTTGTCTATCTATCTATCTATCTATCTATCTATCTATCTATCTATCTATCTCTATCTATCTATCTATCTATCTATCTATCTATCTATCTATCTATCTATCTATCTATCTATCTATCTATCCATCCATCCAACCATCCATCTTATAAAACAAAACGGCTGATTAAAAGCAATTTCTTCTTCCCACCTCAAATCCAGGACACAGGAAAGGTTTCTTTTAATTACACTCGCAATATTTCCAAGTAGCTGTTTCCAACCCCCAAAGAAGTGGAAGTGTGTATTTAAAACAATAAAACCCAAACACAACGAATACCAGGAATCTGCCCTCAAGTTTATTCTGAGGAGGAAGCGAAGGGTTTACTTTCAAAATGTTAATTTTGGGAAGATTTTGTCTTTTTTAAAAATTAATTTTATTCTTATTTTATGTACATTGGTGTTTTGTCTACATGTATGGCTGTGAGAGGGTGCCAGATTCCCTGGAACTGGAATTACAGACAGTTGTGAGCTGCCATGCTGGTGCTGGGAATTGAACCCAGGTCCTCTGGAAGAGCAGCCAGTGCTCTTAACCTCTGAGTCATCTCTCCAGCCCCAGGAATACTTTATCTTTGAGGCTATAAGAGCCAGAGAGATGTCATGTGACGGTGTGCAGACCCAGGCATCTGCCCTGTGAAGGAGTAGGGCTTGTGAGGGCAGAAGACATGTGGGGTGAGGGTGGGGAGCAGTAAGCCAACTTAACCCTTGGAGGCATGCAGAGGCCTGCTGTGGAAACCCTCTTCTGGGTTTATCAATGGAAACCCTCTTCTGGGTTTATCAATTTAGTTCTATTTCCTGTTTATGTTCATTGGTATTTTGACTACATGTATTTCTGTGTGAGGGTGCCCAAAGCCCTGGAAAGGGAGTTGCAGACAGGTGTGAGCTGTCCTGTGGGTGCTGGGAATTGAACCGGGGTCCTCTGGAAGAGCAACCAGTGCCCTTAACCACTGAGCCATCTCTCCAGCCTCCCTCTTCATTGTTATTAAGGAGACCAGCCTTATGGAAAATTTGGACACAAAAGAATTAACCAATGTTTTATTTTCTAAATGCTCTAGGTGTTACTTAGGTATCTGGCATGGCACATGACTAGCAGCCAGTCCTCTGTATGTGCTTAACATGTCTGAGTGAGTTTGTGTAGGGGAGGTGAACCACTCCTCCGCCCCAACATATTGTGTCCTGGGGACTGAGCCCCTTTGTCAGTACATAGGGTCTGAATACTTGCCCTCTGCTGTCTCAGAGACACACCGCCCCCCTCAGAACCCCCACACCTCTCTGTTGCAGGGTGACTGTCAAGTTTATGGGTTCACCTCACAGGAAGTGGGGGGTTCAGAAGAACCAGAACTATCAAAGTAGAGCAGTTTGCAATAAAGGATGCATTGAGGCTCGGGACAAACGGCACTCCAATTCTTCAGGACCCTGGCTGTTATCTTCTGAACTCCAACCTCTGTAGGTTTTTCATTAAGACCAGTATGACCAGGCTTTTGGACTATGTACCTTCAACCTCATAGAACAAAAACCTTGTGGTGTCAGGACAGGTACCCTTGACCCTGGCTGGCAAAAACTAAGAATAAAAACAAGGATATAGTTATTGAATATCCATGTCCATGAGTGTGTCCGTGTGTCCGTGTGTCCGTGTGTGTGTGTGTGTGTGTGTGTGTGTGTGTGTGTGTGTGTGTGATTTCCTGATCTTGGCTGCAGCTTGAAGAGCTGTGGACGTTGACCATATCCCCATGTTACACAGAAGAAAACCAAGTCTCAGAGACGCTGACGGGTGCTGCTGGTACGCAACCAAGGTCTGTGATTGTAACCTTGCCCCTGAATATGCTCCGAGGAACTGTGTTTTCCTGGGGACCTCACCTAGTGATGGTGATGCTATTTCTTCATTAGCATGATCCTTTTGGCTTCCTGGACCACCATGGCCTGTGGTCTGGACTTCCAAAGTTGGCATAGCCAAGTACTAACTTTGAAGCAAGAAGCATGCTCCCTACATCCCTCTGCCAGAGTTAGGAGGGTTCTTCACAGACTGGGAACCAAGTTAGTATGAATTGTCTCTCCGGCTTGGAGTCAGCTTTAATCTTTCTCTCTCTCCTGCCTTGACTCATCAGCAAGTGGGGCTCACTGTGCCCCCAAACCATCTCCCAATCAGCTCCTCCCCTTCTCTCTGTTGTCAGGCTGGTTCCAGCCACCACTGCCTAACCCAGTTTGTGGTCTTAGTCTTCTAACTGGACTCCAGGTTCTCCTCATTCTCCTCCTCTCCCCTCCCCTCTCTTCTCTATAGGATGACCGAGGTTGTATTTTAGAGCCATACATTAAGGCTTGCCATTCTGCCTCTGACCCTCCAACAACTCCTCAGTGCGTGTAGAATAAAATCCATACTTCTCGCCCCGCTGTGCAGGGCCTTTTGTAAGGGCTCCCGGCTCTCACTTCTAACATGCTCCCCTTCCTGTGTCTGCAGCAGCCCCCTTGGCTCCCCTGCTGCGTCTCACACAGCCTGGTTTTCTCACCTCAGGACCCTTCGCACTTGGCCGGCCCTTCTGCCTTCCAATCCTTGCAGGGTTGGCCCTGCCTTTGCCATTCAGCTCAGCTGTCAATTCTTCCAGCCTGTCTTCCCTGATCAGTTGATTAGAACTGATCCACCCCCAGTCACTCTCCACCCTGCCTTATTCTCTTTGTTGCCTTTATCAATATACGTAATTATCCCCCTGCTGTACTTAGCTGCATATTGTCTCTCTTCCTTACAATATCAGTTCCATGAAGCCGGGGAGACTGGGTTTGTCTCGTTCACTGTTGGATTTCCCGTGCTCGACTCCGTACCTGGAACGCAGCTGTTGGATACACATTTGTTGACTGGATGGCTAATGAACAAATGCACAGACATACAGTGAGGTAAGAGCTTCAGAAAACCAGTGGGTATGGAGGGGCGGATCGGAGAAGGGACGGACATAGACATTGTCCATTTTCTTGGGCCTGTGGTGAAGCAGCTGGCTGGGTGGGATCCCAGTTTGGGGAAAGGATGACAGAACAGATTCTTTGGGACTCCAAGAGCATGTTTACCAGGTAGGGGACCACCAAACCAGAGGAGATTCATGCATCTGTGGCTTAGTTTCTTTCTTTCTTTCTTTCTTTCTTTCTTTCTTTCTTTCTTTCTTTCTTTCTTTCTTTCTTTCTTTCTTTCTCTCTCTCTCTTTTTTCTTTTTTCTTCCTTCCTTCCTTTTTTTAAATTTGCCATGGTTGAGTCTCAAACCTTCCCTTGCTTATATAAGTAAAGGGTGATAATGGGAGACACTGTCATTGGGAAAACATTGACACCAGCGCTTTAGGGGAATGTGTCCCCCAATGAGGACATGGAATCCACGCCCTGTCTATAAACTCCAGTGCCCTCTTACCAGCTGTGTGACACAGGAATGCCACTTAGCCATTTTGTGCCTTGGGTTCTGCCTCTGTGGGATGGAGACAGGAGCATACCACTACACACCATGGTATGCTTCAACAGTGCTACAGCCTTGGATAGGCGTGGAGAAGGGAGGCAGAGTAGCAGGGGAGGGAGGTAAAAAGGATGCTCATGTTTAACGGTCTCCTTTGCTCCTCCACATCTTTTATTTGCTGGGGATAAGGTGCAGGCTCTGGAACAGCACAGTGGTGGCTGTGGGAACGAATCTGCCCCCTCATCTATCCAATGGGACAGAGATTATGGCACAGAAAGATTCTGTGGGGAAACTGGAAAGCACAATGCATGCCAGATGGATTTCTTCGTGTGTTCTGTGTGGGTGTGTATGAGTATGCATGCATGTGCAGGCCTATGTGCGTGTATGTGGAGGCCATGTATTGCTGTTGAGCGCCTTCCTCAGTCACATTCTACTTTATTTTTTGGGGACAGGGTCTCTCGCTGAAGCTGGAGCTCATTGATTCTACTAGACTGGCTGGCCAGCACAATCACGAGGAATCCGCCCAGATCGGGATCTGCTGGGACACTCACTGCTGCCCTGAATTATTTGTTTGTTTGTTTGTTTACATGAGGGTTGGGAATACGGCTCAGGTCCTCGTGCTTGTCCGTCAAGCACATCTTTCACCGGACCTCCTCCTCAGCTCTCGGAGTTTCTGGGTCTGCTCAGGAGCTGCCTTCCTTTTCCACAAAGAGAAGTGGAGCAGGCGAACCTGAGTTCACTCCGTTTTGCCTGGAAGAGATGAAAGGGAAGAAAGGCTGACCGTTTTCTAGAAGATCCCTCACAAGCTATGTGCATGACATCATGAAGGCTTGCTTGGACCCAGAGCCTGGGTTGGCCCAACTTTGCACTGAGCTCCTACCCAAGGATTTCCCTCTGGCTCCCTGTGGCCACTGTCACTCTTCGGGGGATCTTCCTACAAAGTAATAAAAATGCTCTACAAGGATATATCTCCATCCCTTGTCTGTTGTTTCTTAGCCCAGAACAATCCATGGTGAAGCAGGGCTCCAATCCTGAGGTGGGCTGGGCTGGGTCTGAGGGCGTAGCTTATGGGGGCCAAGGAGACGTATGCAAAGCACAAGCACCTACTGTGTGCAAGGGACTGTTCCAGAGGCTGCAGATGTTGCTGTGAATGACCACTGTCTCCTGTACCTCCACTGCTCAGACCCCGACAGAGGAACCCACGCACCAACGTGAATTTTCACACATTGTCCATGTGTCACTCTGCTTTTATTTCATTGGTTTCACTGAGATGCAGTCCCACTATGTAGCCCAGGCTGGCTTCAAAGCTGGCATTCTCCTGCCTTAGCATTCCAAGTTGTGGGTTGCATGAGCCACTACCCAGCAAGGGGTTTGTTTTATTTAATTTTTATTGTTGAGGCAGAGCCTCATATATCCCAGGCTGTCTTCAAATTTTCTATGTATCTGAGGATGACTAGGAACTTCTGATCCTCCTTCTTCAGCCTCCTGAGTGCTGGGATTACAGCCATATACCACCATGCCTCATTTATGGAGTTCTGGGCATCAAATTCAAGTCTTTGTGCATGCCAGGCTGGCTCTCTATCCACAGAGGCACATCCTCAGCCCTTATTATTTTCTAATTTTATTTTATTATTTTATTTATTTATTTATTTATTTATTTATTTATTTATTTATTTATTTTTGGTTTTTCGAGACAGGGTTTCTCTGCGTAGCTTTGCGCCTTTCCTGGAACTCACTTGGTAGCCCAGGCTAGCCTCGAACTCACAGAGATCCGCCTGGCTCTGCCTCCCGAGTTTGGGGATTAAAGGCGTGCGCCACCACCACCCGGCTATTTTAATTTTTTTGAGACAGGGTTTCTCTGTGTAGTTTTGCGCCTTTCCTGGGACTCACTTTGTAAACCAGGCTGGCCTCGAACTCACAGAGACCTGCCTGCCTCTGCCTCCTGAGTGTTGGGATTAAAGGCGTGCGGCGGCGGCCGCCGCCGCCACCACCACCACCGCCCGGCACTAATTTTATTATTTTACTTCTTTGGCAGTGCTGGAATTAGGAATCAGTTCCACATTTTTGCATATGGTGGGCAAATGTTCTGTCACTGAGCCATAAGCCAGTTTTTTTTTCTTTCTTTCTCCCCCACCCCCTTTTTTTTTGAGACAGAGTTTTTCTGTATAAACAGCCCTATCTGTCCTAGAACTACTTTGTAGGCCAGGCTGGCCTCGAACTCACAGAGATCCATCTGCCTCTGCCTCCTAAGTGCTGGGATTAAAGGCGTGCGTCACCGCCTCCCGACTTCAACCCCAGTTTCCTATATGTCACTGTGGGTATCAGAAGAGGAAGAGATCCGGACTCCTGGATCCCTTCCCCTCACCAGCCCCAACCTTCCCTGTTCCTTATCCCTCCCCTCTGTTCCTTTCTCTCTCTCTATCTTTTTTTGAAATCTATTTATTTATTATGTATACAGTGTTCTGTCTGCACATATCCCTGCAGGCCAGAAGAAGGTGCCAGAGCTCATTACAGATGGTTGTGAGCCACCATGTGGTTGCTGGGAATTGAACTCAGGACCCTTGGAAGAACAAGCAGTTCTTTTAACCTCTGAGCCATCTCTCTAGCCCCTGTTCCTCTCTTTATTGGAGACACGGAAGCCCAGTGGCTCTAGCTCAGGTACTAAATCTCTCCAAGGCTCACGTTGTTTGGAAACCAAGAAAAACCAGTACTAATGAAAGGAACTCTTAACTCCATGTGGCTCCTTGAGAATTTGACAGTGATGAGGAGGAAGGATGCTCCCCCACAGTGCCTGGCACCAGGTGAGTGTCCTCTTAGTGATGGATGACAAGTGGGAAGTGTGGATAAATAATAATAGGCATCTAGAATCACTGTCTTGTCTATAACGAGATGGCACGTTGATGATTTCTGGACTGGGATCAAGCCCTTAGGAACAAAAGCCAAGGACGATGGTCCTTCAGTGTGAGGAGGGGTGACCCCTAGACCTCTGGACCCCTGGACCAAGTCCCTGTCACTGAGTCACAGAGATCCTCCTGTTTCTGCCCCCTGAGTGCTGGGATCATTGTTGTATGTACGTGTACCGTGTGTGTGCCCAGTGCCCAAGGAGGCCAGAAGAGGGCGTTGGAGCCCTTGAAACTGGAGTAACTGACTGTTGTGAGCCACCACGTGCATGCTGGGAACTGAACCTGGGTCCTCTGCAAGAGCAACAAATGCTGTTAACCACTGAGGCATTTCCCAAACCTCCATGCCCACCCTAAAAAAAAAAAAACAAAAACAAACAAACAAACAAAAACAAACAAACAAACAAACAAACAAACAAACAAAAAAACCAGAGGCTAGAGAGATGGCTCAGTGGTTAAGAGCACTGGCTGCTCTTATAGACGCTGGTTCAGTTCCCAGCACTCACACATAACTGCAAAAACTCACTTGAGCACACACATTCACATAAATAAAAAAAAAAATAAATCTTAAAAAGGCAGGGGAGAGAGAAAGCACATGCCACGGTGTATATCTGGAGGTCAGAGGACACCTTGAGGGTACTGCAGAGCAAAGAGAGGATGGTGGCTCCCTAAAGTCTTTGACCCCTGGCAGAACACGTCAGAGTCACCCGGGAACACTGGGATCCCATAGGACCCCTGCAGGGGTCCCATGCACCCTAGTGCTTACTCTGAGAGAGAGCCCCCTTCCTTCAGCTTCCAGAGTAGTTCTCCTGCTGGCCACTTTTCCAAAGTCCCCTGAGCAGGGGATGCTCAGGGTAGCCAAGAACCAGCCTGGGAGATCTTAAATCTCAAGGAATTCCAGGGGCCTACCAGCCCCCAAAGCAGCTGTCTGGCCAGCCCCGAGTCTACTCAGCTGGCAGGTTCTCCAGTGATCTGGCCAGGCTGAGAACTGTATGCTGATCATCAATGTCTTCTGGAAGAGACTGAAGACGTCCTTAAAGACAGCCTCACTGGGTCTGGTTTTCTGAATCTGAATGCCAGTTAAAAAGAAGAGAAATGGGGGACTGGAGAGATGGCTCAGCGGTTAAGAGCACTGGCTGCTCTTCCGAAGGGCCTGGGTTCAATTCCCAACACCCACATATGGCAGTTCCCAACTGTCTGTAACTCTAGTACCTGGAGATCTGAGACTTTCATACAGAGATACATGCAGGCAAAACCCCAATATATATATATATATAAAGGAAATGAATGGTCCTGGGAAATAGCCCAGCAGGTGAAGGTGCTTGCCACCAAAAGTGATGACCCAAGTTCAATCCTCAGGACCCCCAGAAAGGAGGAGAGAACGGATCCCTGAGAGTTGTCCTCAGACCTTTACATACTTGCCAAGGCATGTGGGCATATGCACAGACATGCACAGACCACTAATGATAAAATTGAAGAAATTAAAGATGTAGAAATGTATTCTGTCCTCATTTTTGCTCATTGTATAGTGTCTATGGACTGATTTATCACATTGACTCTTACAAGTCAATTCCAATAATAATTACTAAAAACAATGGTGCCCTGCCCCTAGCCCACAGTAACTTGCCAACACCCTTCTTCTGATGAAATGGTTTTGATGGCCTCAGGTTGCCTAACTCCATTGGTCCCTTGCTGTGTGAGCTGAGGGGGACCACGCTACCTCTCTGGGCCTGAGTCTGGACTGTGGAGGCAGTGGACCTTCAGCCTCAGCCCTGTGTGTTTGTTTTGAGCTGATCCTCTGCTCTGGAGGACCGTGTCCTTTCTGGGCTGTGGGCAAGGCTGGGTGACACATCTTCTGGATGTTCCTCTTGATAGGAAAACCAGTGTCTTGATGGGGGCTTTACTGGGGGTGTGGCATTACTCGGCCACCGCCCACCTCAACGCTCCTTCGGAGCTTTTTCCCTCAGTGCCTCACCAGAGAATCAAATGGATCAGCAGATATTTGTTGAGCCCCAAGGCGCTTGGTGAGGCGCAAGGGAAGGGCCAATCAGACCCGGTTTCTGCCCTGGGGGTTGGTGGAGGGAGATTAAACATGGAGCCAGAAAAAGATGCCGAGCTGCTCGCTCGAGAGAGGAGGGGTTTGCAGTTGGAGTCTGGGGGATGGCTGCGGGTGGGGGATGGAGGGAATTCTGCTTCAGTGGAAAGGTACAGAACCATAGCTTCCTCCCTCTGAGACTGTGGGGCAAGTCCCTTCATCCTCCTCTGCATCTCCTGGCTTTTCTAACTGGAGACTATATTTGTCCTCAGAGGCAGGTGGAGAAGGCTGGAGACTATGCTAGAAAGGAAGGCGCCCACCTTAGAGGCCTTGATTTCTGTCTCTCGGTTTACTGTGTGGCTTTGGGAGAGTGGACGATGCTCTCTGTTCTCCTCCATCTGGGAGTTGGGAATTGTCTGTCTTCAGAGCAGCTTACATGGACCAGATCTTCCTGGAGAACTGCGTGAGAGCTGCCCGCCCGCCTGAGGAACGGTGGAGACCTGAGCACACGCTTTGGAGCCGGGGAAAGAACTCCGCGGTGGGTCAGTCAACAAACATCTGTTAGGAGGGAAAATAGGTCAGACTTGATCATCGCTTGCTGAGCGCATTGGTCTCACGTTCTCGCCTCTCTTCCTCCCGCCTGGGCTTGTGTGCGCATGCGTGCCTGCACGCATGGGATGGCCCTCAGGCCTCGTGGGTGGGGGATGAGAGCTGTACCTTGGAGCCATACCCTCTGTGTGGCACTCGTCTGATTTCTGTGGCTACAGCAACATAACCAGGCCTGGACAATCTAGATGGAGATTTTATTTTTTAATAAAAATACCTTTATCTGAAACTTCTGTAGTTTCAGAGGCCTGTCAGTGACACCAGCCATTCCTGACGAGGCCCCGCCCATGTGGCTCAGCAGCAGGAGGAAGATGGAAGAGATCCCAGGATGGACTTTCTGATCTCTGAGAACTCACCCTGGTCCCACAGGACTCCCATCTGCTTTTTAAAGGCTTCACAGCAAGAATCCAGCTCCCAACATATGA